AATGTCCCACGAAGATTTCCAAAGGTGGATCAATGAGGTGATGTTGAAGATCATCGAGAATCTTGAACCGGACGTCGATAAAGTACGATATGATCTAAGCGAATCTACAGACATTTTTATTATGTCCAACATATATCGTGTACGTCTGCAGTTTAAGAACAAGATAAACGGACGGAACGAAGAATTGTCTATGATACTAAAAAGACCTATGTCGGGCTTCAGTCAGCTAGCTCGTATCGACCTTCAATTTCACAACGAGATCTTGTTCTATCAGATGTATACCCGACCGGACGAGGTCTACGCGAAATGCATCTACGCCGAAGAACGACCGCCCATCGACTCTGTAATCGCCTTAGAAAATGTCAACGGACGAGGATATTATCCTTGTTCATATATATATAATCCTCCATTAGAATACACATTAGCGGCGATGCGCGAGTTGGGACGATTTCATGGCAAGGGATATGTCATGAAGGAGACGCAACCAGAAAAATTCTTCGACATCGTGGCGCGAATTCAAGAAGTTAGGTACACAAAGAGAGCGGAGAATATGTACGAGTTTTACGCCAACATTCAGTCGGTACGCGCGGTGGAATATCTTCGCAGTCAAGGCCATGATACAGTTTTCTGCGATAAGATGGAAGCCTTACTTTCGAACGCGTTCGACGAAGTGATGATGAAGACGGTGCAGCCACTGGAACCGTTGGCCACGTTGTGTCACGGTGATTTTACGTTGGACAATATTCTCTTCAAGACATTGGACGGTGGACAATACCGCTCGATGTTTATTGATTTCGCGCTTATCAAATACTCGACGCCCGTCATCGATCTTTCCACGCATCTTTTTCTATGTTGTTCCAATGAAATAAGAAAAAACAAATTTTCCGAGATCATGCGGGCCTACTATGACGCGCTAAAGGAGTATCTGTTAGACGCCGGCATTCAGGACATTGAGAAGTACTCGTACAACGCTTTGTTGGACGATTTTAAAAGAGGTGCTCTCTACGGTTTCGTTCTTATGTCCACTTTTATATATGTATTATTGGGACATCTCAGTCCAGAAACTTTAGTACAAGAAATATTAGATTTAGGGCCTTTGGAAAGTGCAAAGAAGCAGAAATACGCCGGCGGAGACGAAGTATCCAAAATACTAGCTGATGCGTTGCTGCATCTGAGAGATCGTGGCTGTTTGAAACATTATTTATAATCGCTCGAGATAATTTGGATTTAAAATATAATCTGTATTGATTAAAAAACAACATACAAATAATAATTAATAATAAATAGTCTTTTAGTTATGGTTCATCAAAAGTGCAAAACTCGTTCTCTATAATGTATACTGTCCAACTAATGTTATTTTATATTTTTTACATAGTCCAATCTAATTTAATATATAGCATTCGTGTGAAATTTGTTTAAAAATTTAATTGAGAGAAGCTTAAAACAGGCTTAGTAATTATTGCGCGATAACAAGGAAACCTCAGTAGCAATTGGGAGTGCAACTACATAGATTGCGTACCAGAACAGAGCTTAAATCTCGTCAATGCGACTGACAATGGGCCGCACCGATTAATTTGACAACATAAAAGCATAGTATAGGTATGTTCATGTGTAACACACACACTCACGCACACATACGCATATACACATTTTTCTTACACAATATGATTTAACTTTAAATATTTTTGAATATTTGTATAATTACACTAGTTTACAAAAAAAATGTTTTTTTTTATTAGTTTGAACCGGACTGCGAGTTTCTTATAGATTTTTTGATGCTGAAAAACAATGCCGTGACACATTTCTTCATCACATCAGGTTTTTAAGATAATTAAGGTTTAATATCCAAAAAATGGCTCTTTCGGCAATATTTGACATTTTTTGTAAAATAGATTAACGGTATCTTGAAATTTCAATTAGAAGTCATAAACGTATACGTATTGATTATTCCCTATAAAATGTAATTTTTTTATTTCAATATCTTATTTTTTAATCATTATGAGAGATTTAAATTAGGAGCTATTTCCAATATGGAGACACTGAGACAGCATCACATACATGCGTGATCGGCAGCTATTTTATCATTATTTGTTTCTTTTTAGATCATTTCTCTTTCAGACAATTTTTGTTTAAAACATTTATTTTTTATTTTCTTTCAAGATATCGAGATGGGTTAAAATAAGATATTTTGTGTATGTACATATATGTACATACACAGGATATCTTATTTTATGTATATATACATTTATCTGTCACAATAAATTACATTGTGTGTGTGCATCGATAAGCACAAATTAGGAATTATAAGTATACGCCCTAGTAAAAAAGAACTACTAGTGCAGTAAAAACTATACCAGCTATATATACCAGCAGTGCCACTACTACATTTCAATAGTGTTATCACTGCACTGGTTCGTTTTTACGAGGACGTAACTTCATCAGAAAGAAAATTAGTTATTGTCAGAAAATCCTGTATTTAAATCCAAAAAGTAAATTTTTGAAATAGAAGAAATGCATTTTATTAGGAGTTGAACAACATATTCATGCAGATTTTTAATCAGAATTTTAATATAACGTTTATTACAAAAATATGTTAAATGTCATAAAAAAACATTTTTTGAATAAATTTCACTTATCTTAAAAACTTGATATGCTGGAATTTTTTAGTTTTTGGCATCGTTTGCAGCTCTAAAAATCTACGAGAAATACCTAATCCGGTCCAAAATAATTTTTTGCGGTAAACTAGTGTTATTTAATCTTCGGTATAAATATTCTAAAATTTTCACTCTCGTGATCATAAAGTTGAATTTTCGTCATTATAATAAATACAATTTTGTTTAAATAAAGGAATTTATGAATACTTTTAACAATTTTTTTTATTTATGATATGTAATTTATATTATAAAATATAATATTTTCAAATAATTGTTGCTAACAATTAATTTTAAAGATACAAAATGCATCTATCTATACTTACATTTCTATTTCGAACATCTAACTATCTGTCTATCGTTACGTGCAGTAGATATTTTAAATTATTTATTACGAGCATTATCGTTAGCTGGTAACAAATTGTTGTTCAGCATTCTACTTGCAAACAATATACATCGAAATTCAATAGTTTGGCTATTTTGCAGTTCGCGAAATACCATTGTCAGTCCTCTACTCCTCACGTTAAAACTTCACATTTATAGTTCTTATTTGCGTAAAATAAAATTATAAGCTAGTCTTCACGGGAAGTTGTGATAATACTGTGCCCGTTGACGAAATAACATAAACTTATATCGACCAATATCCTGGGTGTATCATATTACTTTTACTCGGACACGATTCGCATATTTAAATAAAATGTCCCACGAAGATTTCCAAAGATGGATCAACGATGTGATGCCGAAGATCATTAAAAATCTTGGATCGGACATTGACAAAGTACGGTATGAGCTACCCAAATTTACTGACACTTTTATTATGTCCAACATGTATCGTGTACGTCTGCAGTTTGAGAACAAGACAAACAAACAGAACGAGGAATTGTCTATAATAATGAAGAGACCCATGCCAGGCTTTAGCCAGCTAGCTCGTATCGATCTTCAATTTTACAACGAGATCCTATTCTATCAGATGTACACCCGACCGAACGAGATCTATGCGAAATGTATCTACGCTGAAGATCGGCCGCCCAACGACTCTGTAATCGCCTTAGAAAATGTCAATGGACGAGGATATTATTCTTGTCCGTGTGTATATAATCCTTCATTGGAATACACATTAGCAGCGATGCGTGAGTTGGGACGATTTCATGGCAAGGGATATGTCATGAAGGAGATGCAGCCGGAAAAGTTCTTCGACATCGTGGAGCGAATTCAAGAAGTTAGATACACGAAGACGGCAGAGAACCTCTACGAATTTCAGAGTAATATCAAGTCGGTACGCGCGGTGGAATATCTTCGTAGTCAAGGCCATGATACAGTTTTCTGCGATAAGATGGAAGCTTTACTTTCGAACGCGTTCGACGAAGTGATGATGAAGACAGTGCAGCCGCAGGAACCGTTGGCCACATTGTGTCACGGTGATTTTACGTTGGACAATATTCTTTTCAAGACAGAAGATAATGGACAATATCGCCCGATGTTAATTGATTTCGCGCTTATCAGATACTCGACGCCCGTCATCGATCTTTCCACGCATCTTTTTCTAAGTTGTACGAATGAAATGAGGAAAAGCAAATTTTCCGAGATCATGCGGGCCTACTATGACGCGCTGAAGGAGTATTTATTGGACGCCGGCATTCAGGATATTGAGAAGTACTCGTACAATGCTTTGTTAGACGATTTTAGAAGAGGTGCTCTCTTCGGTTTCATTCTCATGTCCGTTTTTGTACCGGTATTACTGGGACATCTCAGTCCAGAAACACTAGTACAAGAAATAGTAGATTTAGGGGTTGTGGAAAGTGCAAAGAAGCAGAAATACGCCGGCGGAGACGAAGTATCTAAAATATTAGCTGATGCGTTGCTGCATTTGAGAGATCTTGGCTGTCTGAAACATTTTTTATAGTCACCCGAAATAATTTACATTAATATAAAATATCTGATTAAAGAAAATAACACACAGGTAATAATTAATTATAAATAGTTTTTCAGCTATGGTTTATCAAAGGTGTAAAGACTCGGTCTTTGCAATGTCCAACAGAATCCAACTGTTTATATCGTTTACATAACATCAATCTTACAATTAGTTTATGTGTTGCATTCGTGTGAAATTTAATTGAAAATCTTTAATATATTATTAATTATCTTTAATAGTGTCTGTAATATATATTAATTATCTATAATAATATCTTCCTGTTACGTCCACATTGTTGATCTAGAGTGATATCAAGAGTAGGAGAAATAATCAAAATAATTATTTTCTCTATTAACTGTGTTATCTTTTAAATTTTAAATATTTTAAAAATAATGGGACTGAATGAAACCTAAGTTTTGAAGAATTTCCAAATCATATCAAAGCTTTGCTATAATTGTACAATGTATATTGTAGAGAGTGTAGAGCACAAGTTTTTATACCTATGCTGTACCATAAGTCGAGAACAGTCCAATTATTGATGTCCATCCCTTAGATTAGAGAAATTTAATATTTACAATATTAAATATATTTTTCAAAGGAATGACATTTTTTGTTTATCAAATTATAAGCTATAATTTATAAAATTATAATCGTATGTGAAAATCAACTCAATTTATCGATAACCAACTTTTCATATATAATTACGAGGTTTTTAAAATTAATCTTGAAAACAATATGTACATGTGATATCAGTTTATATACATATATCTGGTCCCATTAGAATTAATTATGCTTTAAGCTAAAGCTGAACTTATGCAATGAATGGTGGCTTTTAATGGACTCTATCTTATCTAAGCGACTTGTTTATGTATACGCTATTATGCAATAATTATTTTGTTTTCATTTGTTTTAAGAATTTGCATTCTGTATCTCTGCCTACACAATACGAAAGAAACGTGCTATTTTGTTCGCAAAGTATATGCCATATGTTATATATCGTATATATAAGTTATATATATAAGTTGTACTACTGATGTAAAAACGCAGCAGTCTATCTTGGCAACATGATATATATTTTATACATGATCACGACTTACAATCTATTAGAATAGAACAAAATTTGGCGTTCTGTTTGAATATAATTAGAATATAATTTTACTGTAAATTTCTTCTTTGATAGCAAAATGGAAATCGTCTTATGTAATGATAACATCCTTATCATAGTCTTTGTTTACGATAAAATAATCCTTATCATGGTAGTGTTTACGAAAAACATTCTTGTGTAAACCAGCGTTCCCTTCTTTCGAAAAGATAATTTACATATTTGAAATATGCACAACACGATGCAATGTACAAGGTAAAGAAAACAAAAGTTACGGATAAGATTTTGGAAAATCTACAGAAATGCAATTTTGTATAAATTATCCAGAAAATGTATTTGGTAGTAATGGAAGGATTATTTTTATAGTTATAATTTATGGTGTTGAAAAAATTTATATATTGTAAGAGCATTTGTAGTTCGTTATTTTTCAATTGTACAATAAATTAAACATTCTAATGAAAATTTATCGTCAACAATCGCCAACATTAGCACTCTCTTGTCTTTTATATTATTTAATATAATATGAAAGAGCAACATTACAATAATTAATAATTAATAATAATATCTTTATTATAAATCTAAATTATTAATCATTAATAATTAATTATTAATAATAATTTAAATTAAAATATTTCATGAAACTCATTCTGATCTATTTTTACTTACCTGATTCCTAATTTAAAATCTCGATTTAAAAAATGTTTTAAATTTAATTATTATTAAACACATCATTTGGTATATATTTATTATTTTATATTTCGTGATTATATACTATCTCGAACTTTACCTTTCTAATAAAATTAGTTTAAGTAACAGCGATTTGTTCGCGCCACATCGAAGGTTTTGATATTTCAAGAATCGCGGAGATGACGCGTTTCGATCAATTTCGAGTCGCGATTCACTGTAGAGCGCAACATGCTAGTCGTGTGTGAATTGCTCTGTAGTTTGAAATTTATTCCTGCATCGCAGAAATGAATCTTTTGAAAAATTATTATGAATGGTTTTCGAGAAATGACAGACATGCAATTATCCTCATCGTAGAAATAAATCTTTTGAAAAATTATCATGAATGGTTTCCGAGAAACGACAGACATTCATTATTACGTATGGCTGCGTTCGAGAGCGTCTATTGCATCATTTCGTCTTTATTAACGTCTAATTAACGATAAAGAAGTGACACAATAGCGCTGATTGCGCGCTCCCTGAACGTAGCCAATATTTGCAATTCCCTTCCTCTAAGGTAAAGATTGCAGTCACTCTTAAATGATCTGAATAATCTGATTATTATCAAATAAATCACATAGGATTGCAGATCTTTAACCGCATCTCGAACTGCCGATTCCAAATTTGAATTATATGATTTAACATTTAATATAATGGGAAACAATTGGAAAAGATAGGAATAACAATAAATACACTGTTTATACACTCCAAAGTGTTCCATTGACATAATTTATTTGGGATTTAATAATAATTAAAATAATTGCGTGACAGGATATCGATAGCAGTCTACTTGATTTCCTAATAAAGCGACAGTAGTATACACGTCATACAAGTTTACATAAATTAAAATAATTATCAATGTTTTTCTGTACTCGAGCGCCATTGCTGCGTGTATACTCGAACGATGGTAAACCGATGTGGCTCTTAATTTCACACAGTTCGCTTATGCACCTCAAAAATTTTCTTTTTGTCTCATTCTAAGTAGACTCATCATATTACAGTATCTCGACATATATTTATATATATATATATATATATACATACTATATATATATATATACATACATATATATATATATACTTTATATATTTTTATATATATGTAAATCTCCATATTTTTTTATATGCATATACATTTATAAGCGCGTGCAAATATACTATGCACGAGATCTCTCGGTGACTGTTGTGCTCAGTCCACAGGAACATTAAACTCAAAATACAATAATTATTATTACAATTTATTATTTCAATATAATAGGTCTATCTACATAAAATATATATATAAGTGTCATAAAATTTATACCTAGTAAACATTACGTCTATGTTTCCAATTATTTACACAAAGATACTGCCAGAGGCATTCGCTTGTTTTCTTTTCTTTCGTTAATCTTGCAAAAATATGGATTGTCAGTAGCTTTCTTATACCCGTCTGCTCGAGAGCACGATAATAAAGTAGGTAATTGAATAGATGCATCCAAAATGGAGAGAGATTGCGCTTGCATCACAAACAATTTGTACTAAAATAATATTCGAGCATAGTTTCCTTTATTTTATGAGAATAACGGTGAAATATGCGCGTGCGTGTAAAAATATCATCATAAACAGTGCGACTACAAAGACATGTTGTCTTTATAAACGCTGCCATACACGATGTGTATAGCCACGGCACGTCAGAGTTTACATTCAATATAAAAGTACATGTAGCTTCAGGACTTTATATATACAATGAAATATATATATCTAAATTCCATAAAATTTTAGTTAAATGTGTAGGGGCACAGGAAATTTTATAGTGCTTTTAAATTGTAGGCTTAAAAAAATCATTTTTGTTTAGTTTAATAAATTATTCGAAAATGTTCAAAGTAGGACAAATAGAAGTTTTCAACTTTTAAAAGTAATGTAAAAATAATTTACTAAAAATACCCAATATTTTGCTTCACATGATCTAATTTTTCTTAAGATTCTTAAGATTTCAAGTAAATATCAAAATAATGATTTTTATATACATATATTAAGAATAAAATGCCCTCAATATTTGTTCATAGAAAAACAGGCTCACAAATAATATCTATTTTTGTGTGAATTAATAAGAACATCTAGTTTAAATAGCATTTTTTCTCTTAATTGTATTATTTTGTCTTTAAAAAAATTTTTAATTAAAAAATATTTAAAAATTCATTCACAATATATGCCTCTGTTTAATATTTATTAAGTTAAGCAAGGCGAACTTATTCATAAGTTTTTTTTTGTTAAATAAAAAATTTCGACTCAATTTGATTGTTTGCATTTCACAACCTTGTTTAATAGAGAAATCTCGGTATAATTTTTAAATAAATTACTTCAAATATAAAGGAGGGTTTAATTCTAAATTTTTAATAAATAAAACGTGACGTAATATCTTTTTGAATTGAGGGTGCAATTATAACAAGTAGCATTTAATAGTAGAAAAATATCTTATTTTGATGTAATTGGGTATGTGCAGAGAAACGTGCGTCATGTTTAATATTTTCATGTTAACAGTGAACTTTTCTGTTGCTCAAAGATATTTAATTATACATTCATAGTTCATTAATATTTAGGCCGCCTAAAGATTCTCTCTTACGTATTTAGAATGTAACACAAGTTAATATTTGATAAAAGGAGAGTCGAAAAGAATTTTCTTATTTATACGCAATCCACGTATTTATGTCACGTTTCGAGTTAATCCTTAAGTATCATAATAGAATTAAATCTCAAATTTATCATGCCTTTAATACGGTCAACGCATTTGATATTGCTTTAGACTTTTTATACTATTTTTGGAAAAATGATGTAAGAATGTTTAATCGTAATAATCATTATAGAATTTGTTATGATAAATAAAAACAGATAGAAATTTTATACAATATTTGTTAATATAATTAACATTAAGATAATTATTTTTATCATGATACTTAAGGGTTAATTATTTCTTCGCCAGATAATAACTTCTTCCTAACTACACGCTTTTGTATATAATAAAATCATATCACAAGTCTCAAATCATTTATCTTTGACCTAGGTGCATAATTAACATGAAAAAATACTACAGCAAATATCACATGGAGCAATGATATTTCATTTTAAATACCGCAGCGACTTTGCTAAAGATAAAAGTCCATTCCTTAATCTTACAAGTAGAATTATAATTTCGGGGCGTTACACATATTTGACAAACAGTCATTATACAATCGTTCATAAAATAATAATTTATATACTTTCATATACGGGGGATAGTAAGCTCAGGCGTATGACTGATCCAACGATATAGCTATTTTATTCCCTTTCTCGACCCAATTTCTAAGACGTCCTCTGAGTTCTTCGAGACTTTTCGATTTTGCCTTATTTATCCTCTTGTATTTCACGTCTTTTGGCTTCGTCACGGATCTGTGATTGCTCATTACCCTATTATACGTCACCTGAAAGCATAAACAAATGGAAGGCTCAATTTACATGTGCACTACCGTGGGCTTTAAATACAAAGAAAATTCAGATACAGAATATATCTTATATATGAAAATGCAAATTTCCATTACGTTCCAAGTTAAAAGTCAATGTTCTTTATTGTTCCAATTACGAGTGTTTGATAAATATTTCCTGGCACATCCCCCTCCAATCGAATTCTCTTGCATGCCGATAAGATTCTAAGTCGCTTCTTTTACCTGCGCCTGCTGGCTTTCGTCTCTGGGTCTTTCGCTGGGCGGAGAATCCGTGTCTTGAGCCAGCCTCTCGAAACTGCCGTAGAGATCCTGAAGTCTGCCTTTTCCGTTGCCCAAGTTTTTCGTTCTCTTATCCTCGTACTCCGAGTTCTCTGTCAACTCCGATGGATCCTGATTAGTTTCGCTGTCACCGTCCTCCTCCACGGAATACACGGTTTCCAGGATTTCCGGTCTTCTGAGGAAACCGTTGCCCCGTCGCATCGACGAATACTTGTTCGACGGTTCCACCGCGTCGGACACGGAACGGATCACAGTTACATCAGTAATGTTAGAACGAAATCTGTGGAGTATAATTAGAATACACTTAGGATCGACTATAGATGATCTGTAATTCGTGAAAAAGTTTTGGAAAAATTCTATTTATAATTTTCCTATGTATATTATATATAATATCTATCTATATATATTATGATATATATTTTTTATCCATTTAATTAATATATGTACTTTGATTTTTTACATGTTTTCCATTACAACACACATGAGATTACAAATAGATTTTTATTCCGCATTTTGTCATGAATCATCGATTAAAATGGACTTAAAAAATGTACTGCAACTTCATTGTATCAACTTTGAACGTATTTTAATACAATAGTATTATACGCTGACATAAATCAGTATTTTTAATAAAGTTTATACTGATCGCAACATTGAAAACATTTAGATTTTTCTGACAAAAAAAATTAAAACTACGTCTTCAGCTTATCTTAGAGTCCTGCCTATATTTTTCTTTTTGCATTTCTGCAATTTTATTTCTCGTTTCTCGTGTTCCGTCATTGCACATAGCCGCTTCGTAAGGACTCTCTTCGCCGATGTAAACTTATTTAAAAAAAAATGCTCACCTCGGTGGGGCAGGATCGTCCGCGGTCTCCTCGAGCACCACGGCGCTATCGCTGTCCCCGAGACTGTCCAATCTGTCCAGGGCGTCGCAAGGTGGTGAGTCCCTGGTGCTCGTGCTCCTTTCCGCCAATCTGCTCTGCAATTGCCGGATCACCCTTTGTTGTCGTAGAATAATGGATTCTCGCTGACTCAGACTGGCCTCGATCTCCTTCTGCTTCCTGCAGAGCCTAGACTCGAACAGCAGAAGCTGCGACGACAGCGTCCGCAGCTGCTCGGCCTTCTCCCGCGTCAGTCGGGCCACCAGGTCCTCCTGCGTAACGTTACAGAATTGACAGAATTGAATTGGTCGCGCATCAATTTCTCGTATTAATTCGCGCGTGCAATAAACTCGCGCGGCTCTCTTCACCCGGTAATTCACGGCGGTAATTAATAACGGCGCGAATTTGCAGCCCGCGAAACCAGGCGACCGACGTTTCGCCATTTACTTCAGATATTAAGTAATTAATTAGCAAACGATATCTCGCCGCCGTTATTATTAATATTTGTCTAGCGCCGCTAATTAATTTCCTCCCCTCCCCCCACCCCGGTTTCTCATTTCGGTTACCGGTAAATACCGTCCGTTCGAACGGACGTCGCGCTCGCGCGCTGTGATGTTAGGTCGTATTTCTTTTCCCCTCTCTTTTTTTTTATCGAACACCGGTTCGTGCGTATTTACGCAAACATCTCTCGAGTCCACTTGCTTTACGCGTAATACGTGAGCGGTGGTTAGATATAGGCGCGTTCCGCCTCTGCACGCGTCGATACGTGCGTGAAGCTGCGTGTTTGCACAACGGTATACGGTATGCCTACACGTCGCATACGTATATCCGGCCGACCGCTTTGCATGAGCATTGCTCGTACACGTCTCCCTTCCTTCCGTCCTCCCGCGCGTGGAGGATGAGTCCATTACTCTCGCTATTGTGTGCAACATAAACGGTACCGCAAGACGGCCAGGTGTTACCGTCGTCGTTGCGTGTCACGCACTTCGAGGACGGACGCGGAAAATAATTGAGACGTTTCGCCGATAGACGCACGATGTGAATGACCGGTTAATGCGTCCAAAGAACAAATTCCGCATACCTAGGAAATTCCGTTAAGGAAACGGAAGTAAGACGGCATTTCTTTGGATGAAGGCATATAAGAGAAATATTCTCGATATCTTTTTTTTTATTGCTTGAATTGTCTCACGTGATGCGTTATTAATTCATTCTGTAGATTCAACTGGGATTTAGCCAATTATTCAATAGAACGTTTTTATGCTCTCGTACTATCGCCTCGTGAAGATTTTAAAAATACTAGCTGTTGAATAATTTAATCTATTTTCTTTAAATTGTACTTATTATTTTTGTGCATTTTTAAGTATAACGAACGTTTTCAATTGCTACGAATTTAAAATTAAAGAAAAAAAATTTTTAATTATCGTTTCATTTTATAATAATGTATAATGGAAAATAATCAAAAATTCACGTGTCATCACCATTCACACTTTTATAAAACATAAAAAATATAATTTCTCGTGATTGCAAAAAAAATGAGATGTTCTGTTTTACATCTGGCAATAAATATATTGAGTTGATGTATACAATATATTAAATGTGATCAAAGTTTTAAATAATATTAGTAAATCATAATTGGTTTTTCTCATTTTCAACTCATAACACACATTTTTCTACTTTCACTAAATATTAAATTAAAAAGAAATATTACATTAAAAGAATGTTACAAAGAAAAATTACAAGAAGAACGAATAGAAAACGTACAGAAAATAAATAGGTAATTACCGATAACGGAGAAATGCGTGTTTTACTCAGAATCGCGTCCGTTTAAATCTAGATTCCGTAACATGTCTGCGCACATTTCGTGCACGAAAGGTATATTACGAAAAATGGCCTTTTTATTGCCGAAATGAATACATCACAGTATTAATATTCCTCCGTTTGAATTCGAAATACGGGAAAGTCGTTATTCGCAATCGGCCGTCCCGCAGGGGGTATATTTTTCCCGCGCGTTCGCTGGCTAACGCCGGATTGCCGGAGAAAGAGAGGATCATTTCGTAGCAATTATTCCTTCGCAGATTGCCGACGAATTTAGTGGGAGAGTCCTTTTTTTTTCGCGCGGGTCTACCCTCGCAAACCGAGAATCGTCCGTAGTCACGCGAAGTCAGACGCGAAATCGTAGGATGTCACGAGACGCTCCCGGGCTTATCCCGGAAATGCACGGAAATCTCTTTAACGGCAATGACTCGTGGCAGCAATACCGTTTCGCTCACCCGCTGGAATTTGTCTTTTTTCATTGGCGTCATGACGGGGGATCTAACGGATACAGAGTGTCCAAGGCCAAAGATTCACGATCCGAAAAAATTAGAATTCAGATTCTCAACAAAATTCTTCGGAAAAGCTTACCTAAGTCTTTTATTAATAGCGAATACACGTCAAATGCAAAAAAAAAGAAACAAAAGTATATTTCTAGCAAACGCTGAAAGCTTCGGTTGAGCTTTCGATTAACGAGCTGTCTAATAAAACTGTTTCGTTCCAATCGATTCGCGCTTTCCGACTTTAATTTAATGGATATCCCAATTACAGGGTACGTGTCTGCGTGAGTATAACGTTTGTTTAAAACAGTCGCTCGTCCGCCTCGCAAAGCGGGGCAAAAATATGTACTCGTTCGCATCTAAATGGATTACCGTGTATCTAATATTTCACTGTCCGTAACATCGGTTCGTGGGCCGAGCGTGTTTTATGGTTTTCAGAGGTAATAGCTTTGATCGATCGTTCCTCGCGTCCCCCTCCCCCCTACCGATTTCCTCGTCGAAGACGAAACGGCGAGTGGGATTGCCTTTGCATGTAGAAATCCTTCCTGGTAATTGAAACTTACCTGCAATTTAAGGGTCCTCCGCCAGGCGAGCATTTGATGGGCCCGCTGGTGAGCTTGCGTCCGCTGTCTAGCTCTGAGTGCCGCTATGACCGACTTGGCTTCCTCCAATGACGTCACTTCCACCTCGTTACTGTCCTTCATCGACTCGCCCGACAAGTCACTGACTCGGCGGCCCTCGTCGATGGTAGCTAATATGCAGCTGTCCATCGACGTCTCGTCGAAGCTGCAAACAGAAAAAGTGGCGCGATGAGCGACTTGTTGTTCCACAGTTGTCTGACAATCATTTTCAACAAGTTCTTTTGGGCTGTTGAAGCGCCTTTGCAAATAAATGACCGCTCAAACGAATCCCTCTCAATATGAATGACAATAGGGGAATCATTATAGAGAAAGGCGATTACGTTAAAGCAGATCGCCTTATGTCTACATATTAGGATTGTTGTATGAACTTATGCATCATTTCTTCTCGTTATCACATCTATTACATTAACCTTTATTTTTGCTTACAGCTTTCTACTGTATTGACTTTCTTTTTTTAATTCTATTTCATCGATATTAAATTATGATTCAGAAACACCTTTATATCATTAAATACCTACGTTAACATTAATTTTAAATGCTTTAATTCTAAAGATACGTGGGACCGTATAATTTAATTAGAATTTCGTCGAAGTGTCAAAGTAGGAATTGCAGATCGTATTCGCATGTGTATGCATAATAATGTAGAAAATTTTTAGGAAAGATCGGAGTAGCTGGTTGAAATTTGGAATGTTCTTGAAGCGATTTTTTTAAAATGATTTGTTCCATTTTTAGCTTCGCCTAGAATAACTCATAACTGCCACAAACATAATACAAAATATTTCGATCAAATACACACGTCAGAAGGCACTCTTATTGCTCAATAAACCACCCTTAAGTCACTTAAAAAATTCTAGCTACACTAAAAATGATTTGTCCCATTTCTACTTTTGCACAAAGTAACTTCTAAGTGCCAGACATAAAATAAAAAATGTTTTTATCGAGCATAAGGGTGCCTTTCGTGCATTCAATTGGAACATTTTTTATTTTATGTCTGGCACTTAGGAGTTACTTTGTGCAAAAGTAGGAATAGGTCAAATCATTTTTGGTGCAACTAGAATTTTTTAAGTGACCGAGAGGGTGATTTATCGAGGATGAAGGTGCCTTCCGACGCGTGCATTCGATCGGAACATTTTTTATTTTATGTCTGGCACTTAGGAGTTACTTTGTGCAAAAGTAGAAATGGGCCAAATCACTTTTGGCGTAGCTAAAAAATTTTTCAAGTGACTGAGAGGGTGATTTATCGAGCATAAGAGTATATCTTCCGACGCGTATGTTTGATCGAAATATTTTGTATTTTGTTTGTGGCACTTATGAGTTATTCTATGCGAAGCTATAGAAATGGGACAAGTCATTTTAAAAAAATCGCTCCAGGAACGTTCTAAACTTCAACCAGCTGATCGGAGGACGATCTGGACGATGCATCTTTTCCGGTCGATTACTCGTACATTTTGATGAGATAAGATATATGTACCAAAGAGAAAAGCTCGTTTTCTCCGGCGAGAAAAGGCGAAGGTTCGCGTTTGAAAACGAACCTACGTGATTTATGATTTGCTTGAACATCTCTCGCGTTCGCGCGCCGCCCTCCTTCATTTTCTCATCGGCATGGTAATGAATCATCCGGATATACAACTATATGAAACTCGACCGCAAGCCATAGAGCACGATCATGCGCGCGGTAACTGATCCTAATACCAAGAAACGCGATCGGCAAATAAATCAACGATCATGGGAAATGATACAGCTCCGGTTTAATAAAGCTTGGCGATCAAACCGGTATCGAAGGTGATACGCATGAATGATATGCCGAGTGTTATTATTTCTTCTTGCATGTATAACGTACAATGAAATGTAATGTAAAAAACGACTTTTTATCTCAAGACACGCTACATATTTGTTGCAATGTCAAGACAACTTCGGCAGATTTAATAATTTGATGTAGCTAGTATTCTTTGACATATCTTTTTTCTATTTTCCCTGGATTGTTATGCACAATCTTTACATATTGTAAAATATATTTATCCTCTCTAAATTTTCTGGAGTGACTTTTCACTCAAGTAGCCGAGTGGCAGTGTTTTCAATCTTTTGGAGTGAGATTCACTCCAGAAAATTTAGAGAGTCCAATGTTTATTTTTGCCTTCACGCGATTAGTCACATTGCGACATTATGTGTGTGACTTATCGCAACGTCCGAGATCTGATCCATTGGACCGAACCGTTGGCCGCAAATAAAAAATATCCAGCCGAATTACAGGTATACGTTACCAGCTGTTACGCGAGGCCGGTGTGTACATCCGCGGAATAGAACGTCTCTAAAAATCGAAATTGCGCTTGCACGTTATTGCACGAAAACTTTAGCACCGCCTTTGGTTCTCGCGCGCGAGAGCGAACGCTATAAAAACAGTTTGTGCCACACCGGCCCCGCGCGACTGATATCGATCTCTATCTAGAAATTTACATCGTGCCGTACATCAAACGCTATATATACCTGCCGCAATTCTGTGCACAAGATCGACCGAATGCACACGCGGTTGGTATACGAGACAGCCGCGCCGTGTCGTTCGCCGAGAATGTAAGCTCGCCCTCTGACTAAAAGCAACTCAGAGAGGTAGGATGGGAGGGACAGAAGATTTGTGTGGTCAAATTGAAGGCGAAATTTGTGAATCTATTTCGAGCAAAGGAATAAATGGATACAGTTTTCTATGTAGGTATCATTTACTGTACTGTTATATTTAAAATATAGAAAATTAATTTGTAATACGAGAAATTGATAAAAATATAGAAATTTTCTATCATTGAAAACAAGCATTCGAAATTTTGAATGCTCTGCTATTTTTTAGTTTTTCTTAAGACAATTTGCTTTACAGATTGAACCTAAAATAGATTGTTAAAAAAATGTTATTACAAAATAGTAACAACATAGACATAAAATTCTAATTTCTACATAACAATTGACATTTCTTGTGTTTTTATCATTTTGTAATAGCAATTTTCTAATGTTTATTTAGGTTTAATCTGCGCATAATGTTCTGAGGAAAATTAGACTAAAAAATAGCAGATTAATTCTTAAAAAGTCACAGAAAGGTACTCGAGCATAATTTTCGGGCTCCTATCTTCAATGATAGAAGACGCTCACATTTTCAATAACTTTGTATTACAAATTAATTTTCTATGTCTTAAATATAGTCTTATAGTTGTAAATAACATCTAAATATTTGTGTATTCATTTATTCTTTTCTTTGAAATAAATTTTGTCTTCAATTTAACCATACGAACCTCTCAGTTTCTTTTAAGCAGAGACTAGAGACATGTACGGCAATGTCGATAGATTACCTTGCCATCGATGGCTAACGGACCTCTTTTGGGCCGCGTGCTTGCTCGAGAACCTTTGGGAAGCGCCTCTCGTAAAATTCTGCAGCGAATACGTAAACGCGAGAGTGATTCTCCATTGTACGCGTCGGAGACTCTTGCTGCCTCGAGTACAACTTTCGAAAGATAAGATCTTAAAATGGTGCATAATTTTATAAAGAAACTTGTACAACTATTTTTTTCAATTGTTTCTTTTATGACTTTTCAATATGTTATAAAATAATTTATGTAAGAAAAATGTGCGATTTTTAATGGAGATTATTCTTGTGAAAAAAATGAAACAGCTTTCCATAAGGTCAACTCAAAACCTTTTTCTTTCATAATCACGGATGCAAATTTCTCGAACAGTTTCAGTGGAAAATTAAAAAGATTTTCTTACAATTCACTTGAAAAATCTGAACACGCGTAATATTACGAAGCGCTTTTAACGTGAAGCTTCTGTCTCAAACGTTGCTTCATTTATAGTTTCGCCCTTAGTTTCAACCTCTGAACCTGCATTATAGTACGCGAAGAAGAAAGTGCGCGTCTCACGTCGCAAGTTGCTTCCACGACGCACCTGGAGCTCCGCGAACTCAAAGAGAGACAGTTGCGAAAGTTTCCTTGTTAAAGTCATTCCCGGTCGTTATGCATTCATTCCGATCGAACGGAGAGAAATCGGGGAAGACAGCGAAACTGTTACCGCGCGTAATCTGCATAACGAGCGGCGAGAGGCTAAATCATTTACAAATTTATATGCGATCCATTTAACGGCGACGAGACGCGTATTTGTGAAAAGCATTTTTCCGGTTCTCTCTCTCTCTCTCTCTCTCTGTTTCTTGCTCCTCTTCCTCTTCTCTCTTTAGCCTCCGGACTAATTAAGGCCGGATAAATTATGCATGAGCCGGCTGAGTCATGCCGCGCCGTGAATTTGACGTTTTCCCTCTCAGAAGGCATCGATCGCGGTGTAACCTGCGTGAGAGACCTGGGGATCGAAAAACCCCCGCGGTGCGTACGATAGGAAAGGCGCACGCGTTTCCGCCAGGTAACCCCGAGAGCGAAACCACCGCTGCGATATAAATGCGTTTCCGTCGCGGGTAAAAATACTGAAATAATAAAATAGGAAAACGCAATATCCGCGCGCGCGGTAACCTAAAGGATGACCGAGGGCTGCAAGATATTGCGATCGACACGAGGATATTATCGCGGTTATTACTCGCGGGATGTATTACGAGAAATTAATACGTAGAATTTAATTATCAATTATTATTTATTATTATTTCGCATTACTCGTATACGCGTATAGTCGGATGCTCGTTATTAAAATACACGGGATTGATTGCCGATTATTATTTCTAATTACGAAATATTGGGATTGTTGTTGCAAAATTTATTGACATCGGAATTATTTACTAGGCGGCCATTATTTATTACGGTTGATTGATCACGACTAGCTGAGATTTCATAATGCGTAGAAGTAGCGATGTTTGAAAAGCTATACGAATATATAAATGTTTTATTGTATTTAATGACTCTGGATTATCTTTAGGCCATCCAGCTCTCAACGGCGTTATATGATAATTTCATGTTAATTAGCATGCGCATAGAGAATTGGTAATTCAATTGCAGTTACTCCTGTAGACATTAGAACAATATTATCATTGAGTATAATTAGAGACATAGTATAAAAATTTTGATTTAAATAAATAAATAATAATCTTCCTCTTGAAGAGCATTGCTCTAAGAAATATCTTAATAATCTTTTTTTTTTCTTATCGGGTGTGTTTAATTTCTTCAATTTTAT